GCCCCGGCGCCGCGCCCCGCGCTGACGCCCGTTCGCCCCTGCAGTGAGCAACCCCATCCCCTGCAGCCTGAAGTCAGAGGCCAGGAAGGCCGCCAGGATTCTGCGGGAATTCACCGAGATCACGTCCAGGAACGGGCCTGACAAGCTCATCCCCGGTAGGTCCCTGGCACCGTGGGGTGCAGGCCGCTCCCCACGTGCTTTCCGCTGCCGGTTACCTCCGTGCCCCCTTTTGGTGGCCCCCAGCAGCGTCCCCTCACGGCCGGCCTCCTCCGGCCGGCTGCCCCGCCCTGCTCGTGCGGTCTGCGGGTGTCCGGTCACCTCACGGGGTCACGTCAGGAAGCCTCACCTGCCCCCAGGCTTCACGCCGCCGGCTCCCAGCACCCCTGGGCACCAGGCCCCGGTCATGGAAATCTAGCGCTCGGCCCCACAGCCACTGTGTCCACCCAGGCCGGTTCCCAGCAGGGCTCAGGCTGCTGACCCGGCCGGCTGCGGGGGGCGGTGGCCTGGGGGGCACCGGCGGGGGCGGCACCCAGCACACACGACTTTCTGCCTCAAAGAAGCCAACTGAGCTGCTCAGGCCAGCTCTCCCGGAGGGGCCCAGCAGCTCTGCAATGTCCGGGGCAGCGACGGCTGGCCGGGTGGGTGGCCCTGCCCCCCGCTGCAGGGCCCGCTGGCCAGGGGGCACACAAGTCCAGCAGCTCTGCTCTGGGACTGGACAACAGTCCAGCCAGAGAGCCTGAGTGGGCAGGCAGTGCTGGCAGCAGGCCGGAGGACGCGCTGCTGGCCGGGGCCGTGGGTGGCCACAGGCCCGGTGGGAGCTGGCCAGACAGCGGCCTCGGGAGGGCTCCAGGCACGGTGAGCCGGTGCCCTGAGTGTGGGAGGCTAAAACCCGCCAACGTCTGTAAGCCAAATGCCTGTTCCCGGGACACGCCAGGGCGCAGCTCGCAGGGCTGACTGGCCGCTGCACTGGTGGCCGGCCAGCTGGCGCCCCTCGCGTGGGTGGGCAGCGCGCAGACCCCCGACACCAGACTCGCGTTTGTGTGACGGCGCGTGATGCCCGCGAGCGGGGGCGGGAGCGGGGTGGCGCCTGCCCTCTGGCCGGGCGGCCACGCGTCCTCACGCTTCTGACGCAGGGACGGCGCTGGACGGGCGGGCGGGCGGGCGGGCGGGCGGTCCCGTGAGCCCGCGCGTGGCTTCGTCGGAGCCTCTGGCTTCCCCGCGTGCCTGAGTCAACGAGTAATTTCCGCGTGGAGAGGCGACACCATGGTGCCCAGTGCCCCTGCGGTGCCCTCGAGCCTTCGGCGGCTGAGGCAGCGCTGGGCCAGGCTCGGACAGTGCGCAGACACCCTGGGAGTGGGCGTGTCCGGCGCAGGCCTCTGGCCGCGGGACGGACGTTCCGGGCCACGAAGGGCCGGCGCGCTGGGCACTGCCAAGGGCCCTGTATAAAGTCACCACCCGCACACCTGGCCAGCCCTCCGTGACCTGCTGTGAACCGGGGCTCACCCGCAGCGGCCTCATCGTGACTCTCAGCCCAAACCGGCCGTGCGCCCCGGCCACGTCTCGGCCTCGCCCCGCGGCCTCCCGGCGTCTCTGCCGTGTCGCGGGAAGCTCCGCGTGACCCTCCCTGTTACTTGACCAACGAACCGTTCGGACCTCTGAGCCCAGCCGCAGGGCTCCCTGTGGGTCAGCTGTCGCTAAGGGGTGGCGTGGGGCTGCGCCCGCCCTGCGGGGCGCCCGGCCTGGCCCCCACCATGGCGCTAAGAGCTCTGCGGAGAAGCCTGCAGCCCTGAGCAACCCGGAGCGCAGTTGGTCCAGCCGGCCAGGCCCAGGGCCCACCTGCGGGGGGAGGGGGCATGTGGGTGGCAGGACTGGTGCCCACCTTTTTGCCCACCTTTGGGCGGTGGGGGGGTGGGGCGCCCACCTTTGGGGGATGGGGGGATGGGTGCCCACCTTCGGGGGGGGGGGGGACGGGTGCCCACCTTCAGGGGGTGGGGGGAAGGGTGCCCACTTTCGGGGGGTGGGAGGACGGGCGCCCACCTTCAGGGGGTGGGGGTGGGTGCCCACCTTCGGGCGGTGGGGGGACGGGCGCCCACCTTTGGGGGTGGGGGGGTGGTGCCCACCTGCTCTTCTTTTCCTTATTGCAGCTCATGTCATCGCCAGAGCCAAGGGCCTCGCCATCCTGTCCGTGATCAGAGCTGGATTCCTGGTCACCGCGAGAGGGGGCAGCGGGGTCGTGCTGGCCCGCCTTCCCGATGGGAGTAAGTCGGTCGTGCGTGGGAGCGCAGGCTTATCCCTGTGGTGGGGGCGCCGGGGCTGGGGCGCCCTCTGGCCTTGGGGGCGGGGCCTGGTCTGCGGGTAACTCCCGGGAACGAGCATCTGGATGCTGGCTCTTGGCCCTCGCGGCGTAGCGTCTGTGGTGGACGCCTGAGTTGCGGGCAGTCGGACCAACAGAAATGCGGGACAGTTAGCGCTGGCTGCCAGGTCACGTGGCTGCACGCATCTTTCTGCGACCCCCTACTTTTTGGTGTACGTGATTCTAATTTGAGAAGCACCTGGACCATCCTGACCCACCACAGACCCAGCTGGATATGGGGTGCCTGGCCTCCCCAGCTCCCCCGCACCAAGGGGGCCCTCTGGGAGCCCCAGGCCCAGCCCGGAGGAGGCGGAGCCCCTGAGGGCACCTCTGGCCCCCCCAGACCCCGGGAGCCACTGCCCTCTGCAGGCTGCTGAGAGCCCGGGGCTGGCCAGAGGGGGACCCTCGCTGCGGGGCTAGTGGGGGCCCAGCCAGGCAAACTCCGCTCCAGAGCGCGGAGAGGACATCAGGCTTGGACCAGCGCCGCTGCCCAGAAGCGTTTCCTGTCCAGACCATGCTGTCTTCACACCAAACACGAGGCTTTTTCTGGCCGCAGCCGCTGGCTGCCCTGCCGCGGAGCACGCGATGGCCGCGACGGCACCATCGCCGAGCCCAGGACGCGCCCCGTGAGGCCTGTCCTCTCGCAGCCACAAGGGCCTCCTGGCCTCTGCTCGGCGCAGTGTCCAGTGGCCTTGCCCGCAGACAGTTGCAGCGGAGCAGCTCCGCATTGCGCTGCCCTTTGGAGAGATACAGGATGAAGACTTTGACCCCCGTGTCTGAGAAAAGTCAGACTAAAGAGCGATTGCAACTCGCTTCCCTGTGAAACACGGGGTGTCCGGCCTGGAGCCCCGCGGGTGCGGGAGGCCGGCGCAGCCTGTGCAGGCTACAGAGGCAGGACGGAGGCCCCGCCCAGCCCGCGGCCACTGCCGGGTGCCTGGCGCAACCTCCCGGTGCTGCAGGACGGCGTGAAAGCACAGGGGCCTTGCTCACCCCTGGCCCCGCCCTGCGCCCGCCTGCCCCGGGGCCCCTGCAGCCAGCGGCCTCCTGCCCCAGCCAGACCCCTCGGGACACTGGCGCCCCCCACGGCCCAGGAAGCTGCCGGCTTTCCCAGGTGGGTGGTAGCTCCCCCTGCCCCCCGCCACCCTGCCCTGGGGCCTCGG